AAATCACAAGACTTACTTCAAAGCACAGGTTGACAACAATTTATAACAGGGTTCATTACAATAATCCAAGACTTACATTGTTGTCAACCTGTGCTTTGAATTGTAACAGGGTTCATTACAATAATCCAAGACTTACATTGTTGTCAACCTGTGTTTTGAATTGTAACAGGGTTCATTACAATAATCCAAGACTTACATTGTTGTCAACCTGTGTTTTGAACTGTAACAGGGTTCATTACAATAATCCAAGACTTACATTGTTGTCAACCTGTGCTTTGTTTTGTAACAGCTGTGGTTCATGACGATAATCCAAGATTTACACTGTTGTCAAGCTGTGCTTTGAATTGTAACAGGGTTCATTACAATAATCCAAGACTTACATTGTTGTCAACCTGTACTTTGTTTTGTAACAGCTGTGGTTCATGACGATAATCCAAGATTTACACTGTTGTCAAGCTGTGCTTTGTAACAGCTGTGGTTCATAAAGAAAACCTGAAACTGACATTGTTATCAAGCTTTGCTTTGTTTTGTAACAGCTGTGGTTCATGAGGATAATTCAAGATTTACACTGTCGTCAAGCTGTACTTTGTATTGTAGCAACTATGACTCAGGAAAACAGCTCTGAACATGAGCTTGAGATTTTTTAAGAGACACATATTTACCCTACCAAAATTCCAGCACAACAATCACTGATCAAAAAATAAAAAGAGTTTAAAGACATTTATGAAACAAATAACCAATGGAGGTTATTACTTGACAAGTAAACATCTAATTAAAAGAACGAAAATATTTCATTTTGTATTCTTTGTAAATGTGGTAAAGCTAAATATAAACTTGTATGTCAAAAAAGTTTGAATACATTGCTCACCAGGTTTTTCTCGAATTGTATATTAAAGTACTCATTATATTAACAAACACATCTGAATAGAACTGAGTGATTAACTTCATTGATCCATTACCTATAAGTATTAGTTAGATCAATTAGTGTCACGTAAAATAATCAACTAACTAAAATTATTGTTTCTGATTACTACTGCTTTCAATATGTTTGATCATTCGAACTATCCAAGTAATCAATATATTGCCATTTTGATTTCTGATTAATTCAAGGTTATTCAGCTAGTGCCACAAATCATGAAAAGAATCAATTAACTCAAACTAGTGCTTCCAATTATTACTATATTTTAATTATTTCAATTAAGTCTTATATGAGACTAGTTGAATGTAATTAATGAGCACAACAACTGATCAAGCAGCAAGTTCCACTAATTACCCAGTTATACATCTAAACACCAGGACTGAAACGGCTGTTAGTTATCAGATGACATTTAATATTCTAATGCAGTGTTCTGTGAAACCCTGGGATTCCGTACGATACATTCAAGGATTCTGCATGAAAATTTTGTGTAGTGTAGATGGGATAAAGGAGAAGGCCAGGTATAGGCATGGCTTAAAAGCTTGTCAGCCCATAAATCATATCATCCTGTATTCCCTTTATCATTGCCTATTTCATTTACGAGCAGAGACTAACTGAAGACTTGCTGTAAGTTAGTCGCCAGTGATGGTCAAGTGAAGTGTTTCAAGGAAACAACAAGCTAGTCTTGAGTTTGTGAATATTTTATAACATTACAAAACTACAGTGATTACAAGTATTTATTCTACTTAGCCATGGATGGGTGGTTAAAATAAGGAATTTTAAAGCGAGAACAAGTCTCTATTGATAATAATTGTTTATGATTTAACTTTTTAACATAAGAATGTTTCTTAAGGTTTCCGTCAATAGTTTTAGAGCTCAAAAGTGTGCCATGATAAAAAGTTTGGAAAATGCTGAATCATTATTTATGCATACTTCGTTAGATCTATGATCGAACGTAACATAATAAAAGTGAATACTTATACTATTACTGTTTATCTTTATCATTTTTTTATAATTAAAAGTACTGATTCTGTTTTTGGCACATTATATTATAAAAATTTTGAATGTGCAAATCAGCAAGTCACATTACAGTCACAGTTGATATAAAGTTATTGTGGAATGGAATGTATCAAAACTACATTTTGACATTGTTTGGTATTTCATAGATAGTGTGATGCCAATATAAATTGATTGCTTTTTTGGAAGGGTATGTAACAATATTCATACTCTCAGATCATAACTGTGTGTTCAAATCGGGGATTTAGAACTCCAAGATAAGGATATCCCTTGTACTTAATACAATTGGAAAACAAAGGAATATGAATCAATTTGGGCACCAGGACCATCTATAAGAGACCTGACAAATCATACCTTAGCCTTGGTAAATAAAGTGCGGCATCTTGTAACAAGAGAGAATCCACAAAGATTTGTGGCAAAAGCCATCCACTTGCCCTAGGCAACAGTTTGAAACATGATCTGGAAAAATGACACCTTCCATGACACGTTTGTTGAACTGTTGTGTACCTCAAGCAGCTGAAGAATGAAATGAGTGTTCATGCTATTCCGTACGTAGGTATACAGTTCAAGTTGCCGGGTGTAGCACCTCTAGATTTCTATACAATCAACAGTGAAACAGGTACTGGCAAACTATAGCTTTGTACACTGTATAGTTTGTGGAAAGCTCTATGGAGAAGTGGTGTGCTTTGAACTTGACAGCCTTACAACAGAGCCTTTTGGAATAGCTGCTGCAGAGCTAATGTTAATATACATGGTCATCATGTTGAGCATAACCTGACATAGCGACATTGACTACAATGAAATAGTAAGGCTCCACATTAGTTTTAACATAACATGCTTATCTACTACATTCTTATCCTGTCTAGCTTAGTATCCAGAATCTTTGTGATATCTCAAAAGGTCTGCCTAGAAGGTTAGTGCTAGGCCTAAATTATCACCACAAATAAGCAAATCTAAAAATAACATAAATTCTTGACTGAATCTGTATTATATTCACTACTATAATTTGACTATTTATGGTGCATGCATTTCAAAGTAATTATAGTGTTCATATATCACTTCTAACTTGAAATGTTGCCGTACTTATGGTAATCTATTGTGGATAGGCCTGCTGTTAGAATTGACTTAAATTAATTCTATATATATGACATATTAAAGTTCAAAGAACTAACGTAACACTTTGTTTTGAAGGGCTACCAGTATAAAAAAATTTTACTATTTCATAAACTCCAATAATATTTTATTTGTACTATTTATATTTGAGTTCTTATATTAAATCCAATGAGGGTGTGAATGACTTTATATATTGACTTTGTTTTTACAGCCCATTAATAATGCTGACTTCGTAGTTCCTGTTGAAATTGATGGCATTGTTCATCAAGTAAGTATATCATAATATTCAGCGACGGAAAAAATTACATGTATGTAGGATGTTTCGAGTTTAGGAATGATACCAATCTACCTGGACTGCACACTGGAAAGTTGCTGTGACATGACTCCATAATTAGAGGGAGGAGAGCCTGTACTTTATCTAGTGTTAAGAACTCCTTTAGCATGTAAAATAAAAGGTACATATAAGAAGTTGTATGACAGCTCTTGATTGTCTAAGAAACATAGAATTGGTAATAAAATCAGTTCAGTCATGGGATTTAATGATAAACTCCAGAAAATGTTTTTTATCTGTTTTGGCATAAATATTGTGTGTAATAAAATTTTCATTATTCTTAGACTGTTTTATCCGAAGATTAGATAAGTTAAAAATCTGTATACATGTTTGTTAAATGAATTTGTTTTCATCTGAGTTTTGGGTGGACATATAAACACCAACTTCATGTCCTTTATTAGTTTTATGTGTGCTATGGAATATTTTGACCCAGAAAATGAAAACTTTAAGATATATATGTAATGAGTGAAAAGTATTCGGTTTCTGTAAACACCCGATATGACTGATTCCTTTTTTACAAGTAATAAAATTTATGATAAAAGCCACCTTGTTACAGTAAAAGATACGTAGAATGTTCCAAAAGCAGCATTTTAGCTACATTGTGTTATTCAAACATTAAGAAAGTATCTTTTTAATCTTAATATATGAATTAATAGCTCAGCTGATATATTTGAGGATAAACGTCTCTTCAAATCAAAGGTGAAAGAGATGTCAAAAGTAAGAATATTTGTGTCTGTGTGTATGCAAGTGTGCTAAGTTCATGATATGACAAAACATTTCTTTACAGGTTTACGTATTAAAAAGGCCTTATGTGGATGAGTTTTTAAGAATAATGGGAGAGCTTTATGAATGTGTTTTATTCACTGCAAGTTTAGCCAAAGTAAGTTTCAAAGATTATAACTTGCATTTATTTCTGGCATGCTTTCTATATCGAGATGTTTCAAGTTAGGTTTAGTGTTTATTAATGCTCTTGTGTAACTAACAAATTATATTTTTACTTGGGTAGTACTGATCTGTTAAAAATAAGGGAAGGACTTTTAAGTGTAATTAAAATTTTAATCATTCTGAATGTGTTTTGTAGCAAATGCTATAATTTTTAATGTAATTTACATTGAGTAATGCTGTGTTTCATATTTTATCAATGAATTAGAGTTTATTTGATTCTGGCACTCTTAACATTTTTTTCTTTACTCCATAGTGACTCGGTAGTAAATCTGCAGGCTTATGATGCTAAAAATTAGGTTTAAGTACCCGCGGGGGCAGAGCACAGATAGCTTAACAACAAATACATCAAACTTTTAGCTGTTTGCAAGGTTACTTAACCATGAAATAAAGCATCTCATTATTTCTCAAATAAAATACTAACATAACATGGTTAAGTTTCAAGCATAAACTTACAGAAATTTGGTGGTTATTAAACATACAGTAATAACATTACATTCTTAACTGTAAGAACTTTCTTTTTTAACAAGTTCTTTACTTGTTTCTAAGATCTTAAACTTAACATGTTTGAATGAATACGACATCGCATTCTTTTAATGCAAGTAAGTTGACCACTATATATATACTAGCATATGCATATTAAAAACAAATATGTAGTTAACATAGTTTAATATAGTATAGCTCTCTAAAAACAATATTATGCATTAATATTTGCAAGAAAAAAGGCTGACGAATGAATGTCTGAAATCAATTTTTAAAAATTATTGATATAAAATGGTGAAAATTGAAAAGCATGTCACACAAGATACCTCGTGTTATAGACAACCATGATGTCTGTAGACCAGTGGTGGAATAATGGTTTAAAAGTGTTGGAATATCTTTCGAAGATGGCAGAGTAAGATATTTGTTAGTGAATGTGCTTCTCTTCAGATGTATGACTAGTTTAACACATTGTTCTAACACGACTATTATAAAACTCATCATGAAGTCTTTAATACATAGGTGAAATTTACTGGAGAATATTATGGGGATCAGGTCCCCATTTCATTAACTGGGGATTTCTCCCCTCACATTGCAACAGCAATAACTTTAATACGTAAAACAAGATTTCTAGGGGTACAAAACTTTTTTTAAATACTCAATGTTAGAAAGTTGAAATGTCTGTTTAGTATCCAGTTATAATAATTAAATTAATTACTGTTTTGAAACATAATTTGAAGTTAAAGATTTGTTCATAAACTATTTACTATTAGAATATTACTATTTTTTGCACTATGAATATTGAGTAGAAAATCTGTTTTGCTCTAGTATGCTGACCCTGTAGCTGACTTGCTAGACAGGTGGGGAGTTTTCCGAGCAAGGTTGTTCCGAGAATCTTGTGTCTTCCACAGAAATAACTATGTAAAGGTAAAGTATTTCTTTAAAAACTGGAACTGCATACAAGCTACAGTCTGTGTTCTTGTAAATAAGAATTGTTCATGTTTAAAAAACTTCTAGACATTGAACCCCCATCTCCAGTTCAATGTACAGGAATTGACATTTTTTACTCAAATATTCAGCCTTGTGTTTTGTATTAGTGACTTCTTATCATCATCATTACTTAAAAGAACTTAGTGCCCTTCTGTGGTTACTTAGATATCGTAAAACAGGCTTTTTGAAATTAATTAACTTATTACCCTAAAAACAACCTTGCAAATAAAGATTTCTAATCAGGACTAGTTTTGGCCATAAGCCTACATCATCATTACTTCACAAGTTATGTGGATGTAATATAAATATAAACTATTGATATCAAAACAGTTATGTTAAGTTTAACCAAGCAGTAAAAATAGTGTAATATTATGGCTATGACAAAACAAAACTACTATTAAAATGTCAGATCAGTCATGTCATCCGAAGTACATTTGATTAGTTGTTCAGCTTGTATTAGATATAATAGTTTCACATGATCTTTTCTAAGCTACCACTTTGAACATGTGTTAAGTTAATTCTGAACTGTGACCAGATCTCAAAACCATTTATACATTCTACTTTGGAGGAGTGGAGCTGGCCAATCACAGTAGACTGTTACAATTTAGATACAGGTGTAATTAACAAAATGTCTTCCAAGCCAACAAAACAGGTACTCAGATATGTGGTCATGGTTGTTTATCATCCACAGCATGAACAGATGACCACTTTGTGGCAATGGCTACATTATAAGAGTAATGGTTAAACCCCACTGTTCAGTCTGATAAGAGTAGTCCAAGAATTGGTGGACGGTGGTGTTGACTAGCTGTCTTCCCTCTAGTCTGTCACTTCTAAATTAGGGATGACTAGTGTAGATAGACCTTGAGTAGCTTTGTACAAAATCCAACAGGCACAGAAATTGTTGCAAACCTTTGGTTTTTCTTATTTTAATTAATAAAGCTATAGTTCAACAGGATTGGTTTGTTCAAGATTCATTAAGCATAGCTAAACATGTACTTTTTAAGTATTGTAAATTACATATTGGATAGGCAGGTATATATGTGTGGAACACGAAATGTGGATACATTGTTCTAAAAAGTTTGAACAAGATAACCAGATTATAACCACTAGAATAAATTTTTACATTGTTCCAAAATTTTTTTTTATTATCTACAAAACAGTTTGAAATAAAATGTTACAAAAAATTCAAAATTCTTTTAATAAATTTACAGGGGGCCAAAAAATAATGTTGTTGTTTTTACATGTTGAATACAAACCACAACAGTATTCAAATATTAGTTAAATTCAAGGTAAGGTACAAACCACAACAGTATTCAAATGTCAGTTAACTTCAAGGTTAGATACAAACCATAACAGTATTCAAATATTAGTTAAATTCAAGGTTAAATACAAACCACAACAGTATTCAAATATTAGTGAAATTCAAGGTTAAATACAAACCATAACAGTATTCAAACATTAATTAAATTGAAGGTTAAATACAAACCATAACAGTTGTCAAATATTAGTTAAATTCAAGGTTAGGTACAAACCATAACAGTATTCAAATATTAGTGAAATTGAAGGTTAAATACAAACCACAACAGTATTCAAACATTAGTTAAATTGAAGGTTAAATACAAACCATAACAGTTGTCAAACATTAGTTAAATTGAAGGTTAGATACAAACCACAACAACATTCAAACATTAGTTAAATTGAAGGTAGGGTCAAGTAGATATACTTTAAATTTTATCCAAGTCTATAAGCATAATTTAGATACATCTCCCTGATTTTATCATTAGCAGAGTATCTTCCCTCTCATGTTTCATCAACTAAAAGTATTGAGCTGTATGGTTTGTTTTTTTCAGAGCATATGAGAGTTTGCTCGACACTCATCATTTTTTAACGCCCAACTTTAATACCTTTATAAATTTTTGATTATCTAACTACTTAGCGTAGGATATGTAACTACATTTCATCTTGAAGTCTTTACCCATGAAAATCTTATCATTTTGTAAACTTGTAGTGAAAGGTGTGCCATATACCAGCATTGTGTTATCTATTAATCGTTCAGTAGTTTTATACTGAAATAAATACATTTTACTACCAGCATTAGAAGTAAATGTTACAGAATCAGCCACATTTATGTGCAATGGAAGTGTCATAACTGAGGTTTCTACTGATTTCACACTTCTATAACTAGTATTAAGTATACCTCTAATCAGGTAATTTTCATAAATTGTTATGAAGATGTTGTTCATGTAGTTATGACATTCTCGTTACCCCCTTTGTACGTATCCTGGGTGTCAAAGTGTGCATGTTTGTTCCATTCAACATGGTATTATGTATCTGATGTCAGATTTATTAACTATTCATTTACCCCACAAAGCTAATTTAGCAACAGATACAATATATAGGGGTACTGAAAAAACTGTAGATATGAGTTTATGCAAATGAAATATGCAAATTTATGATGGACAAAAGTATTTTTATTTTTTACTGAACATCACCTTGCTCTCCAGCTTAAACATGTTTTAATATTTTAAAATAAATTAAGAAAATATTACATACAGCAATGGCTAAAAACTTGTATCACTTTCATCTTGTAGCTGTTGTCCACAGTCATCTCCAGGGGGGTGGCACAGACAGTTGTACAAACTGGCACATAACTTTGGGTTGTGGGATACTGCACTTGCATCTGTTTTCTGATTTGAAAGTGTAATATAATATAATTCTTGTTGTTGTCCTGTGCTTACATGTACCACATCAATCAGAAGGAATTGTAATAAAAGAGTGTAAGCCAGTGTGTTTAGTAAATATACTACACTGAATTGTTTACTTGTTCATTTATTTATTTATTTATTTTTTTCTAATATATATATATACTCTTTGCTTTAAATATAATGAACCTGGTAATTTTTGTGAAAACTTTTGGGTATGTGTTGGATATCAGTGTACATAAGTACGATCTAAGAGTGGTACACTGAACCTCCGAGATACAAGGAACACTTTCCCATGAATATTAAAGAGTATTTTTGGATGTCTTGGAAGGAGATGGGAAGATCAGAACATTTTAGATTAATATCTACAAATACTTAACTTTGAAGATAAGAAAAAATGAGTGGTTTTGATATTCCTTTTCCTTTGTCAGAGGAAAAGTATGTTCTAAAAATTGTTCCTATATTATTTCTGGTGGCAATGCTTCTTAGCATGTAGTTTGTCACGTATGGGCACTAATATGATAATACACTATATATATATCTAGTTACCAGTGGAGAGCAAGTACTTGCTACCTCCCATAAAGCCTCAGGACATGTGTAAAATATGTATGGTTATTGACCTGGATGAAACTCTGGTTCATAGCTCTTTTAAGGTAAGCCGGACTTTTCTGCCAAACTGCGTATACATAAGAAATATATTGAACAGCAAGTAATTTTAAACAAATTTTTTTTAAATTTCCAAGCATCATCTAAAGAGTCTTAAGCAGTGTTTACTTAAATATGGAGAAGCATTTAAACTTTAAGTACACTGATTAGAATGCGATGAAACATCTTTTATAGTTATTTTTAATGGCAATAGATTATCTATATAAAATACCCCAAGTAAGGCTTAAGTTAATGTTTTATGCAGTGAACGCCCTATCGGAGCCTTATTGTGTAATATTAAAAAAAATTGTAGACTTAGCAAGAAAACATAGTAGTTACAATAAAAGTTAAATATATTTTATAGTAGAAGTTTTCATTAAGTAAGATAGGTATAAATGTATATTGATTTCCAGCTTTTCCCAGTTCTTTGGAGAATTAGGATTAGGTTACATAAATAATTAGAATCATGGTAGAAACTTGGTGCATGTGTGTGTTTTTTGTTTGCTTATTGACACCATTATTTAAACTTTTCTTTCTTTATTTTGTAATAAAAAAGAAGTATTAGTATTATTTCTTTTTGTCCACAAGTTATATTCGTGTAATATACTTGCAGACAATAATAAGAGCATAGAGGGCCTTCAAATGTTAGTTTGTTAGCTGGTTGTTGCAACCAGACGCGACTCGTGTTATGCAACATGTTTTTACTAATTTATTTGTGAAACGTAATATAACCAGTCTGACTAGACTATTTGTCTTTATTGTTTTTTTATGATACAAATGTCTTTCTAAAGTAACTGTGTACTACATTTGAAGTAAATCCTGTTTCTCCTTTAAGAAAAGAAAATATTCCTTACGAATATTATCAGTATAGTATGATTTCTTTATGTGGTTGATACACTAACATTTTATACAAAGTTCACTGATTTTCATTGTACATGCCTTCCATGAAATAGCCAGATTCTAGTGATTTTCTAAAATTGTAAACAAATATTAAAACTTGTCACTTTGAAGATACTGCAAGATCAGCCAAGATTATAACCCAGCTTATAAAAAAAAATATATATATTTCAAATACAGTATCTTGTGCATTTTTTTCAGTTTAAAACATATTTGACAAAAGATGGATAAGGCTAAAATAAAAAGTGTAGAAACTGACCTATACACATTCAGTCAAATAACTGAGATTAAAATAAAAATATGACAAATATCTAAGCAAGGATATAATGTCATTGCGATCAGAAAGCTTGTGAATAGAATGAAAAAAATCTAAGTAATCCCTCCAAGAAACAATTACTTTAGAATGTTAAAAGTAAATAATTCATTAATTGGAATTATATATAACACTTTTTTTCATTGTGCTAACTAAAAAAATTTCACGCTTACCTTGGGGGAACACTGGCCATTTTCCTCAGTAGGTACGGGGGAGTTCGTTTGTCTCGGATAAGGATTAAAACAGCACAATAAAGTGTTAAGAAAACCTTTCTGCCGGGGCTTTTTAATCATAGGAAAGACTGAAAAAGAAAATGTTAACTTAAAACTGTGTATATTTAATAGATATTAAAGATATTCACATCATTCAATCTGACACTAAGGATTTTTCAAAATGAAAAACAAACCAACATAAATATCCAGTTACAATACCCCATCAACCGCATACCTACACCTTCTGATTTCTTTACCTTTAATATAGTAAAAACTGACTCATAGTTTAAACTACTTCAACCAACATAAAAGTATTTAACAACAACTAAAGAGTTACCTTTACTAATCTCCATTTTGTAACACTCGATCATGTAAATATCCCCACGTAAAAAAAATCCTAAATAAATAAATACAATTAACACCCTGAGTTTCTTAATCAGTTCGCTATGGCCCATCCTGTATACTGTTCATGATTTGTAGAAAGTACAATCAGTATTATTATGAACAGTGTTGAAGTTTTGCACTTTAATGTTATACGTCAAAATAAAGCAAAGATAAGGTAACACTTAATAAGCTTGCTAAACATCATACTCCCCAATAGACCTTCATTCCTCTTGCAAAGCAGTTCAAATACAGCATAAATGTAGTCTATCCCTCCAACAAAAAATTCCCAATGAATCCATGATGACACTCTAGACTGGTCAAGGCAGATTCTGAACACTGTCTCAAACCACTGCTGGACACAGATCAGGGTATGGCATGGCTCATTGTCATGCTGAAAGAGGTATACCCTTTCTCTATAGAATCCCACCTATTAGCATTTATCAGTTAGTTTGTTGTTAAGCACAAAGCTACACAATGGGTCAGCTATGCTACAGGTATTGAAACCTGGTTTTATTAGCTTTATAAGCCTTCAGACTTACTGCTGAGCCACTGGGGGGCAACACTGGTCAGAATGTTACAATACTACAAGACAGAATTCCATTTATTAAGACAGTGCAACATTGGCCAGAATGTTACAATACCACAAGACAGAATTCCATTTATTAAGACAGTGCAACATTGGCCAGAATGTTACAATACCACAAGACAGAATTCCATTTATTAAGACAGTGCAACATTGGCCAGAATGTTACAATACC